AATACAAGATTCAGGAACAAGAAATTGATTAATCAAGATTCTTCTATTGTTCTTATTTCTAGGTGATATTTTTTCATATATTTTTGTGTAATTTACATACAAACATTCTGGGCTACATTCTCCCCTATATTAGATAAAGATGCACCCTTTATTTATCTTTAATTCGAAGTCAAGTAGTTTAGTTAATTCTTATTTTTTTATTATTTTTGCATGCTCGTATTATTTAAATGCTTGCACACAATTTAGATAATAGTTGCTGGTTGTAGCATTGGGATGCTCAAAATATATTTAAAACACTTTATAAATAACACTCGAATCAATAGATGTTATGAATAGCATATATGGCATATGTAATTTTATTGATAATCATGTGATTGAATGCATTATTTTGCATATGAATTTAGACTAGGAATATAATCGAGTTGTACTAGAATTTGTTTAACTTACCATGAAAAAGATGGTTAAAAATAATAGAATTATCGATTGTCATGAGCACATAAATAATACTAAACTACATAGTTAAGAATAGAATATAGAAAATAATAGGTGAATTTAAATTCAATAAAATCATTTCATATAAGTTTACAAACCAACGCTTTTACATACGTTTTAGAGTTCTTTAGAATAATTACCACCAATCTCTTTTGTGCTATGACAATTCGAATTTGATGCAAAACTAATCAATTAGAATTTATTCCATGTGGGACAATACTCTACTCACTTCATTTATTACTTGTCAAACGATCACATGCACTTGCGAAATTTATCCGAACATTTTGGGTTGAGAACTCCTTAAACATGGCTTTCAATGGAGGGTGGGTGATCGAAAGTAAATCAATGATCTACTGTTAACAATGCCAATATCAATTCATTCATTCACATCAATAGATGAGTCAATAACAATGGTTAGTTATTTTATAACGGTTATCAAAGCTTGGGATATTGTAAAGATAAAGAATTTGTTCATTACATTTGACAACAATTAGATTTTGTCCATCCTGATAAAAGTGGGATATTTCATATAAGCTCATATGATAACACGAGGCAAAGTGTGTCTATTCAGTTAAGAGTGAATATTGCCATGTTGGGTCTTACAAATGGGGTTGAATAATCTGGAAAGCTCGTCACCTCCCAAGGTATGGGTCTTCGTGTGATGGGCTTATAGTGGCGTACTCCCTTTAAAGGGTAGATCCAAGAAAATTGTTCAATGCGGCGAAAATTCAATCTAGGCCAAACTTTGAGTTTTTAGGGCCCGAGATGAACTTTAAATTTGTCCCTTAAATTATAGCATACAGTATGCATTTAAAATTTTCTAACTAATCTATCTATAAACTCAAAAGTGGATGAATTCTTTTTGAGCGAGTTTTGTAAGTGGATTAGTATATAATTTTGTCATGGGCTTGAAATGTTCTATGCAATTCGACTAATTGTACGTGAGAAGTCATACCTCAAGGCAATCACAATTTATTAATATTTTGGTTGATGCAATAAAATTGATTTAGCGAGGACTTTCCTATTGACTGCTCGGAAAGACTTCCATTTGGAGTCAAATACATGCATCTTTATCATTTTGGTTAAACATCACTGCAAGCCTGCAAAAAGGGAGATCTGGTGTCTTCATTTCAAGCGATAAAATAAATGAAAAATTATAAGGTGTCTTATAGTAACTTGATCAGCAATCATCTGTTTTAAGGAAATGCCCTCAATACATCAAAGAGTGCCCGAAGCCTTAACTTATAGTTAATGAATGGGTTTTTTTGTGGAGGAATAACTGATAGAGCTAGAGAGGTAGTCGAATTCGTGAAGAAGAATGGATGAGGTGAGATGAAAAGTGCCAGTCTGAAACTTGATAATGTTATCTACACCACTTAAATTACTTCTTGTCTATTGTTGCTAGAACTGATGAAGCCATTGTTCTGCTCAATGAGATGGAAGAAAATGAGCTGCAGACAAAAATTGAATAGTTGGCTAGGATAAGGTCCTGAATGATAATATATAATATATATTCAGCATAATAATATATATTTAGTTTCCTTATTGTTTTAATTTCCTAATTTTGTAGATTTCATTGTAATATATAAACTAATTTTGTTCATTATTTATCCTAAATTTTGGTGGCTCAATAATATGCCTTCTTCTTCGTTTTTTAATTCTTCATCTTCTTTGGTTGGTTTATTAAATTAGTTCATATTATTTTCTTGGTACCAAAGCCCAAATTTGTATGCTGAAGTCGATCATTTCATCTCAATCATTCTCAGACAATCTGTGAAATTGAAACAAATCAAAAAACCCTAAATGTGTATTGTGTCGCCACTGAAAATATACAATCTCTCTCAAACCCAACTTTTGATTGAAGATTGGAGACTATATTTGTATTCCCAGTGACGAGACAATCATACATGATCGGTGCATATACCACGATGCGCATTATTTTGATGGTGCATGAATAGAATTTAGCGAAGATTGTGGGGGTACGTGGAACATTTTTCGAGGTAATTCAAAGAGACAGTTTGATCGTTGGTGAGTTTTTTATCGTTTGGTAGTATTAGTTTGATTATACGTGTACTGTACAGCATATTCCGACAATAGTTCGTGGTGATGTGTTGGGTGCCATTGTTTTTCATAGAACTTGGTGATTTTGTTTGATTGGTAGTGGCTTATTTGTTAATTTAATAATGACAACTGAGAAGGATGAATCACTTCAATCCATTAGTCTCAGATTAAATGATTCATATTGGAGTACTATGATGAGGAACTTTTAAAGGTAAAAAGATTGCGGGGTTATGTTGGTAAAACTATTGTGAAATTTGAGAGCACTGTTGAGAATTATGTAACGGAGTTATATAATTGAGAGTCAAACAATGCGAAAATTCTCATTTGGATTCATAATTCTGTTAAGAAATCCATTACATACAGTCAGCGAAATTTGAAATAGCAAAGGAAGTTTGGGAGCACTTTTAGAAGTTATACACTAAGTCTAACTTTGCAAAACGATATCAATTATAGATTGATATACATGTTTTACATCAAAACGATATAAGTAGTCTTGAGTTTTACGCCTCTATGAATTCAATTTTGGATGAATGAGCTCTTATGGAATCAGCATGACTACAAGCATATGAGGAATATATTATTTTTAGAGATTTGAGAGGCGATTAGTTCAATTTTTTATGGCACTTCGTAGTGATTTTGAGGGACTTAGAGGCTCTATCTTGCGTTACACTTCACTTTCCTCAATTGATTCGAGGTTAGTGAACTTGTAGCTGAGGAAACACATTTAAAATCTCTTGTAGGAGAAGTATCTCTTCTTCCATCTAGTACCTCGGTGTTACCTAGACCCTCTCGACCATCCATACAGAATCAAAATAAAAAAAAGAACATTGGAAGTCTTAATGTCCTAAGCTATTGCAGAAACAGCAGCCTCAACCATAGCAACGATCCAATCGTCCCAATGCTAACATAGATGCCACCTAGTGACTTGTCTATACTTGGAGCACCACCTTCCTCCAATTCCATGTTGACGGATTTAGCTTAGCAATTTCAGAAGTTCTTAGCCACATAACCACATGTTATGTCAGCCTCCACTCATATAGGTTTGTCATCTTAGAGTCACCCATGAATTTTTTTTCCTTGTGTATCTTTGACTGAGCTTCCAAATGCATGTCGTCTAACTCAAAATTCTTTAATGACTTGCATCTTTCTAACTTGACTATGTCTGCTATGACTGCTGATGGCACACCATTACCTTTAACAGGTGTTGCTTCTATTAATACATATAATTTATCACTTTTCAGATGTTTATTATATTCCAACTCTTACTTTGAATCTTATTTCTATTAGTCAATTGTGTGATTCTAGATACTTAGTTTAGTTTTCTTCTATTGTTTGAATCTTATTTCTATTAGTCAATTGTGTGATTCTAGATACTTAGTTTAGTTTTCTTCTATTGCTTGTCATGTGTAGGATCTTCATTCTCAGATGCTAATTGGGATTGGTCATAGATAATGAGGATTATATATTCTGGACAATCTAAGACCACCACACATTGCAACCTCTAGTGCTGATTTGTCATTTTTCTCTATAAATTCATCATCTTCTAGTTTTTATTTGTGGCATTTTCGCCTTGGATATGTTTCTGCTAGTGGTTTGAAATTTTTAGTTTCTAAAAGATAATTGGAATATATACAAACTCATGACAAATCTGATTATAGTGATTGCAAATTAGCTAAATTTCTGCTTTACCTTTTTCTCAGAGTGTTTTTCATTCTATTGCACCATTTGATCTTATCACTCTGATGTGAGGAGACCTACTCCAATTGCTACAAAAGGAAAGTCTTGATATTATGTGACATTTATTGATGATTATAATCGTTATTATTAAATGATGATCTAACTTTCTTTCTATTTATTGATTTTTTTAGAGCACTTATTAAAACTCAACATTAAGAGTACACTTACATTGATTACTCTGAATTTCTTGCTCTTGATGACACAATTCATCAAACCCCGTGTAGTAATACCCTACAACAAAACAGTGTTGCTAAACGAAATTATTGGCACATTATAGAAACTGTTCGTTCTCTTCTTTTGTCAGCCAAAGTTTCTAGTAAATTTTGGAGAGAAGCAGCTTTTACTGCCATTTCTTTAATCCATCTTCCCACAATTTAAGTTTATCACAATTTAAAACATTGTACGAGAATCCTCTAGATCACTCCTCATTGAGAGTTTTTGGTTGTACTTCGAAAGTAGTAAGTTGACATCTCGCTTTGTTATCTGTGTTATCTTGAGTTATAGGTAAAGAATAAAGGGTTATCACTATTTTGATCACATTAATAATAAATTATATGTTTCTTGTCATCTCATATTTCTTAAGCACATTCCTTCTTCTCTATTTTGGATAATACTCATGACATGACTAAAACTGGCCTCATTAGTATTGATTCATTCTCAGATGATATTAACAGTTTCTCTTTCCGTACCCCATGTATTATTGGTTATTCATGTCCTGCAAGTACACATGCGCCGATTCATATACCCCTCATCCTTCTATGATTTTCCAAGCACCTCCTGAGATTGTTGATCCAACTCCAGCTTCCTCTGTTCCTCTATATCCTCAATGTATTCGTAAGTCTACCCATTACCTAATTTTGCTTATTCTTCATATTCTAAGTCCATTTGTTGCTTTCTAACCTCCATTCACAAGTTATCTGAACCCTCTTCCTATAAAGAAACTATTCTAGATCATCTTTGGATGAGATAGCTACTAATAGCTATCAATGGCCGAGTGAGCGTTCAAGTGTAAAGAAAGTTGCTGGCCTTTATGAAGTAGATCCTATTACCACCCTTGCACCTGAAATGTCATCTCTCACTAATCAAATAGCTGCGTTGACTTCACATGGATCACAAAAGAAATCAGAATCTATTATGGCTACATCCACTACATACCAGAAAGTTGAAATGGAGAATGAACAACTCCAGTATGTGAACGATCAAAATTTCAATCAGAGAGGAAACTACTCAGGAAACAACTACTATCAGGGGTTCAATAATCAAGAGTTTGGAAGAAAGCCATCACTGGACGATATTTTAGGAACCTTCATTTCGAAGACTAGATCGAGTTTCAACAAAGATGAGGTAAGACTTGACAACATTGAGACACATATGACCAACTTGGGGGCTACAGTTAAGAATTTGGAGGTACAGATTGGTCAGATGGCAGCTGCAATACAGTCTCAACAAAAAGGACAATTTCCCAGTGACACAGAGGTTAACCCACGGGAACATTGCAATATTGTCACCCTAAGGAGTGGTAAAGCAGTTGAGGAACGCAAGCTTAGAGAGGTTGGGGTACCTACATCGGATCCCATTCTTGCAAGGGAAAAGCAGACTGAAGAGCAGAAAACTGAGGCAGAGGCAACAAAGAAGATTTATAAGCCTTACTCAATTTCATTTCCGGACAACCCACATATCTTGAAGCCCCCACTACCATTCTCGCAGAGGTATTTAAAGAAGGAGTTTGATGAAAAATTCGCAAAGTTTTTGGAGGTCTTCAAGAAAATCCACATCAACATTCCCTTTGCAGAAGCCTTAGCCCAAATGCCTAACTATGTCAAGTGATGTCAAAGAAGAGAAAGTTGGAGGAATTTGAGACTGTTAAGCTGACAGAGGAGTGTAGTGCCATAATTCAGAAGAAGCTCCCTCACAAATTGAAAGAACCAAGCAGCTTCAACATCCCGTATAATATTGGTGGTATTACATTTGATAGGGCACTATGTGACCTTGGAGCTAGCATAAACTTGATGCCCATATCAGTGTTCAAAAAGCTAGGTCTTGGAAAAGTGAATCCCACAACCCTTACCTTGCAACTGGCGGACAGATCGATCACATATCCCAGAGGCATTATTGAATATGTGTTGGTGAAGGTTGATAAGTTCATCTTTTCGGTGAACTTTGTGGTATTGGATATGGAGGAGGATGAAAAAGTACCGTTGATTCTTGGCCGACCTTTCCTGGCTACTGGGAGAGCATTGATTGATGTGCAAGAAGGAAAGTTGACACTATGAGTTAATGAAGAGCAAGTAACTTTCAACATCCATCAAGAAAAGAAAGCCCCAGAAAAAGGAAAAGTTGACACTTACAAAATGATCCAATCAACTGAAGTAATTACAGGAAACGGAGAAAAAGGGGAATTATTTTATGATCCGTTGGTACAATACATGGAAATTAGTTACTCAACAAGAGATGCATCTACTGATGGTAATGACTCGAGAATGAAGAAAGCAATGGATTTCATCTTAGCTCAAAAAACTGACCCACTTGACAAAAAAAAAGCTGTTTAGATAGGCTTTTGAAACCTCCAAACATTGCTAAACCAAAAGAGGTCTTGAAGGCCATACCGGGGTCAAAATAGCCTAAGTTTGTTCACCATCTTACAATAAAGGAGAATACAAAGCCGAAGATAAAGTTTAGAAACAAGAGAAATATGCCACCTGAGGATCCACCGTAGGCGTTGCGGTTGAATCAAGCTAATGACTATAAAGAAGCGCTTCTTGGGAGGCAACCCAAGCGTTCTTACCTTTTTACTTATTTTATTTTATTTGTTTTGAATTATAGGAGAATTTATTTCATTTCAATTTTTTTTTTTCATTTAGGAATTCATCAACCCTACCTTGTCTCCCATAGGTCTTTAAGCGGTCAAGTTGGTTATTAGATGTTCGAGTTAAGCTAAACCAAAAGAGGTCTTGAAGGCCATACCGGGGTCAAAATATCCTAAGTTTGTTCGCCATCTTACAATAAAGGAGAATACAAAGCCGAAGATAAAGTTTAGAAACAAGAGAAATATGCCACCTGAGGATCCACCGTAGGCGTTGCAGTTGAGTCAAGCTAGTGACTATAAAGAAACACTTCTTGGGAGGCAACCCAAGTGTTCTTACCTTTTACTTATTTTATTTTATTTTATTTGTTTTGAATTATAGAGAATTTATTTCATTTCAATTTTTTTTTTCATTTAGGAATTCATCAGCCTTACCTCGTCTCCCTTATGTCTTTGAGCGGTCAAGTTGGTTATTAGATGTTCGAGTTAAGTAACACTTGTTCCATGAATTTAATAACTACATTTTGAATTTTCAGAAACTTGACGCCGTCGAACAATCAAACCAATTGATGAAGAGTAACTGGATAAATATCAAGTTTGGGGGAGAAAACTAAAAGAAGTATCAATCAAGTCCAGCATCATAGCACCAGTCCATCATTGGTAATTCAGACAATTCAGGGAAGTTTTCCTCCTTTTCTTTTAATTTAACATTGGGGACAATGTCTAGTTTAAGTTTGGGGGTGTGTCATAAATTTTCTAATTGCCTACATTTTTTTATTTTGTGTATTTTGTGTGATTTGCGTACAATTTTTTTAATTTTCTTATTAGGGTGCACTGTTAAAAAAAATCATTTTGCATTTTGCATGCTTGTGTGAGTTAGATAGCCTTGTCGACGATGATGTATACTATTGAGAACATGTATTGGTTTATGGATTATGGATAAGTTATATGTGTGAGTTAGATTTTTGCTTATTCGTGTGAAACAGAAATTATTTTTGCACATGAGTTGATTGTAGCGTTGTACATGAGTGAGTTGATTCACGTTTAGATGCTATATTAGAGAACTTAGATGCTAAACTCAAACAACCATAAAACATTATTATACCCTAACCAAATATAGGATGTTTGGATGATTGCACTGTTGTTGGGAAATTTGGAGATAAATGTGGATTACATGTTTGATAATTTTTGTGTGGACTGTCTGAGACCAATAGGATGAAAATTGGGTGAAAATCTTAAGTTAGAGGTCGATTTTCGAGAATATGTGTTTAATAAGGGGCATTACACTAATCACTGCAAAAAAAAAAAAAAAAAAAAAAAAATGAAGACAATCATAATAATCTCATTAAAAAAAAAAAAAAAAAAAAGATCCCAATGAGGACAATCATAATAATCTCATTGTGAATCGTCTCTTCGTAACATTTATGACTCGAGTGATTACGCTTGCAAGGGTTTAAAACATGATGCCCTATAGTCATCTGATTTAGGAGTCATCAGCCTAAAACTCGCTACAGGGGTCATTTAGAAAGCTTAATGGAGAGACGTTCGCACAAAGGATGATTAAAGACTAAATTTATATCGAAAAAAATGAACATCACATGCATTGATTAAGCCCTAAACACTTGTTTGAGAGGATTAGGCTTTTGACAAGAGGTTAAGAACTCGATTGATTCAGGGAGGTTGAAGCAGTCAAAAATAAGGAGAATCCTCATTTGTTGATAAGTTGAACTACAATTAGTAAAATCTAACCAAATTTGAGCGGTGTAAGAAACTAGTATTGAAAATCCACCTTATATTACACTATTGGGAAGAGAAAAGAAAACAAGTTTGGGAGTGTGTAAATCCCATGAGTGAAATAAGGAAATATTTGACTTTTAAAGTTGGGAATTGAATCAACTTATTATTGTATAGCATTGCACTTAACTCTTCACACACACACACCCGTTTTGCATTGAATATGTAAGAATTTAGCTTGTGCATTATAACTTTGAAATGATTCATGACATCAATGCTATGTTTTTAATTCTGGGCTATAAAAGCAAGATATCTAGCAAAAAAAATTGATCTTACGTGATTCTATAGGTTTTAATTGAGTTTGTGTGTTTGTTTGTTATTCTCTTTAGTTTGTGTTTGCTCGAGGACAAGCAAACTATTAAGTTTGGGGTATTTGATGAGTGCTCCACACTCATGATATTTATGTAACCTAATTTGTTATTTTGCTAATATTGAGAGTGTTTTAGAGCTTTTTAATGTGTGTTTTGATGTTGTCATATATGTTGATGAAATTGAAAGAAATAAGCAAAAGTTGGCGAAATTGGAGAAAATGGCCAAATTGTAAGAGATCCAAAGTTCGAGGACTAAAGTGCAAATATGTTGAACCTTGCAATGAAGATCCGATCCGAGAGTACTAGGAGTCAATTGGATGAAAAAAGATGTCAAAGGGATCAAATTTAGTCAAAATATGATCTCAAATCAATTTCCAACCGACAAGTTATGCTCCGAAGTTTCAGCCTCACATTGAGACCCATTTTTGACATAGAAAATGATCGAGTTGATGAATGATGCCTGAAGCAAAGTTGTAACCTTTTGAGTTAGCTTTCCAATGCATGTTGAATCATTTCAATTGGACATCGGATGCAAAAGTTATGCTAAAAATACTGAAAAATGTACAGTCTGCCTTTTATGCCGAAGCGGGCACCGTAGCGCCCATCTTGGGCGCCGCAGCGCCCATATAACTGAAAATTAACAGAACAGGCGGTGCCACGGTGCCCATAGTTGGTGCCGAGGCGTCGGATATGCGGGGAAACGCGTTTTTATGTTTTTGGACTCTTTTCTAAGCCCAATTCAACCCTATTTTCCAAGACCCCCAACATACTATAAATATCATTCAAAAACCCTATTTTCAAGAATGATGGAAGGGGGGCAAGATTGAAGGATTCAACCACACAATTTGAAGGAGGCAAAAATTGAAGACACCAATATGAAGGAGGAACAACATCAAGGAAGAATATTGAAGATCTACCAAAAAGACTAGTTTTTTCTATCATTTTCCTTATATTGTTTATTATAACTTATTATATCATGAATTAAACAAATTATCTAGGGGTTTGATGTAGCCGAATCGAGATTATGGTTTGATGATTTTATAATTATTTCTTTGATTTTTCCACATATATTTAATTGTGTCATGATTTTAATGCTTTTAATTACTTGATCAATATTGAATAAATAGATGCTAGTCAATTCCGACACTCAAGAGAGGGGAATTTAGGCGTGATCATAAGATTGACACAACATAGATTTTATGGGTTTCGAGAGAAAGTGTAAAATCTGTGAAGCTTACTCCATAAAAGAATCGTGACTTTTATAAATTCTTGATCTTCAATTCGAAATTGAAATATTGGAATTGAAATTTAGGATTATTTTCTAGCCGGCACTCAAGAGATGGGAGAGGAGTATATTATGATTCTTGCTTTTAAATATGGAAAAATTAAATGGAATAATTGGCAATCGTTAAATCATAATTGAGAGTAAGGTGAAATCAATCACCAGGCCTTCTCATATTGATAATTTGCATTCATCAACTTTGTCACAACGAATCACATTACATTAGTTTAACACAATCATTCAATCATTCGTTCATCTGAATAAAGTAGGAATTACACAATTATAATACTTAGTAAAAAAAAAAATTAAATTACAATCTTTGTGGGTTCGACACTCTTACTTCAATACTATATTACAAAACTTGACACCGTACACTTGCGGTATAATTTCAAGTTGTGGAAAACGCATGGCAGTGATGATGTTGATGGAATTGCAGATTTGAAATAAGAATTAGTTTGTCGTTTTGAAACGAAGGACTTAGGTCCATTATCTTATTTTTTAAGGATCAAAATTGCTTCTTCTCCTAGAGGTTATCTTTTATGTCCAAGTATATTATGAATGTTATTAAGGATGCTCATCTTACTGATATCAAGTTTGATGATACCACTCTTAACTTCAACGTTCGATATTCACCCTCTGACGGTATACCCTTAACTGATCCCACTCTGTATCGCACCATAATTGAATGTCTGGTTTATCTTACCATCACACATCCTAATATTGCTTATATTGTTCACAGCGTTAGTTAGTTAGTTTCAACTCCTACTATAGTTCATTGGATAGTTGTTGTTCGTATTTTGCGCTATCTTCATAGTAGTTGCTTTCAGAGTCTTTTATTTACACCGACTTCCTCCTTAGTGCTCCGTGCCTACTCTAATGCTGATTGGGCAGTAACCCCATTGATAAGATTTTAGTAAATTTTAGTAAAAGTTGATAAAATGTAAATGAAAAATTATAGGCTCCATAGATATGTATTCAAAATAAATTATTGATTTTAACATTAATTTTAATTCAAATTTTAATCCACATCGAACATGTGCTAAATAACTAGAAATTGGGAATACAACATTATTTTTTTTTTTT